GATCACTTGGGTTGTTACCAACATCTGGTGAAAATTTCATGTCATTAGCATCTCTAGTAATATATTTACTGAGAAAAATGGTGACGTGTTCAATACTTATTTTACCCGCTGTACATGTCCACCTTGGCCCATGTCATCCTGAGCACACTGTCGATGTGTGCATCGCAGAGTTTTAACATGAGGGGTTTATATAAGGTCTAGTTGAGACACTAATTTCTTAAATAGATTTAGGTCTCAGAAAAATGTCACTCCATATCCACATGTCCTCTGTTGCCTTCTGTTCTGTCTTTTTACTGAGAGCTCTATTTTTAACTTTCATTAATCATTATACGAACTGTGCCTCCTCTGGACATGTCCAAACCATCTTAATCTGGCCTTTCTAACATTACCTCCCAGTTGTTCATCTGTAATGTTTTATTTTAACTCCTGAGACTTTTCTTTCTCCACTCCATCTTGGCTGAGACTCTTTCATCATCTTTTTACCACACTTCCCATTTTCCTGGATAGACTACTTGTAGCCTAACTGTAGTAGAAACAAGTACGCACACACACATACGCACATGCTATGTTCTTCTATTCTTGTGGGGACTTTCCATTTTTCTCCATTCATTTACTGGTCATTTCTATAGCCTAACCCTGACCCCTTACTCTAAAGTTAACCACTCCAGGACGTACCTGCCCCTAAATCTAGCATAAACATATTTCACACCTTGGTCCTAAACACAACCCCTCCACCCAAAATCAGCCTCTGAAGTCATGGGGACCGGGCTTTGGTCCTCACAAGGAGCATTTGGTCTCCACGAGGCTGTATTATCCACATACACACACACACAGCTGTGTTCCCCCCTTCTGTGTCTCTGCACAGGCCGTAGTGGAGCTGTTTGTGTGTGTGGGAAGCTGTTCATCCTCATTTCTGTATGGGCTTCAAATTCAAACATTCACCACAAAAATCACACGTTTGTTTAAAAAATCTGAAATAAATTGCTAATGACTATATATGGCTCAAGGAAACACACAATTTTTTTCAGGCCCCTCAAGTTAATTTTTTTCATCAGAAAAAATAATGTAAATATATATGGTGCACAGCAATAACAAAAAAATATTAAGTATAAATAATTACATGGATTCCAACAAAATTTAAATGTTTTGATTACCTTAGCCTCAAAATCATCCCTGATCATTTTTGTAGTGATTAGAAAATGTGATGTTAATTTCCTAGTCTTTACCTAATTAGACAAATTTCTCAATAACAAATGCAGAAAATAAATAAAATTCCACAAGTTTGAGTATCAGAACTGTTTGGTATAAATCAGACTTTATCCTGTGAATACTAGCTCTGTAGGTCAAATGTATAATTTTTAATATTTTTTTAAAGCCTGTTATTTACAAGCCCCACCCACTTTTGCCAATCATTGCCATATTGTACAGACCCAATCAGTTTGTGGTGTTAAGTGTAATGATTTTCATGTCAGTTGGCATTACTGTTTATGAGATATAAACATGATGGCATTTCTGGTGCCCCCTAGAGTTTGTTTGATATGAAATTTTAGATACTTGCTCAAAAATATTCAATGGATATATGAAATGAGGTTGATGTGAATATGTGTTAAAATACATAAAAGACTGTMATTTTTGTTAATGCTAACAAGCCAGCTTTATATAAAAATAAAGGTGACTCGGTTATACAAAAAACAAAACTTTTCCTTAACATCGTTTGTAGAGCCACTACTCTAGGTGCTACATGAGATGTTACATGCTTATTGGCATTGCCCCTTTGGAGGAGATCATTTTTAAAGTTTTGGCCAAGCTGACAGTTTCAGTGGGGTTTGGGTGGTTGCCAGTGGAAAGCAGCAGCAGAAAAGTGCGTCAGACAAATCTACACCCCGAGTCTCACGGCTGATTTAATCATTTAGTTTCACTTGCATCTCTGACCTTGAGTCTGCTCTTTAAAAGAGTGGCAATGCAATTATCAAAATCTATTAATGGGACCCAACATAATTTAAATAATCTACAACTTGTATTGATTCATACATAACAATGAGCACCTATGTTTTTTTTTTTTTTTTTTAGTATGCCATCTTGCTCACCATGGTCCTGACAACCTTCATCAAGTACATTCTGCACACTGTCGACCTGCAGAGTGAGAATCCCTGGGACAACAAGGCTGTCTATATGCTCTACACAGAACTCTTCACAGGTGCTGGGTTCAGCTCACAATAGGATGCTGGATTATACATATATATATTTTAATCACTTCAGTTTTCTTTCAAACTGTGTGTGTCTGACTGAAATGCTGTATGATGTGTTATTTTCAGGATTCATCAAAGTTCTTCTGTACATTGCCTTCATGACCATCATGATAAAGGTTCACACCTTCCCTCTGTTTGCCATTCGCCCCATGTATCTGGCTATGAGGTAGGCATTGTTCACTGGTCTCTGCAGAGCTTGTGTGGTTTTATAAATACACTCACCTCTCCAAGAAACAATTTAAATATATATATTCTTTAATGTAAGCATTTAAACAAGTAAATTGGGCTTGTTTGTTTTTTCATATCGGATGTTATAATGGTGTATTTTATTCTTGTTTCATCTGCTTCCTTGTCCTTTCAGGCAGTTTAAGAAAGCAGTAACAGATGCTATAATGTCTCGCAGAGCTATTCGCAACATGAACACACTGTGAGTAAAGTTACAGGATGTTTGGAGCTGGACACATGACAAGTACTAGATGAAAATGATTAGTAATGCTGGTGGTGATTATTGTTAATAACAATGTTGTTATACCAATATGCAAAACAAGGCTTTGCAATAACAAACAACAAACCTTCAACAGCAGAAAGATAAACAACATTTCTGCTGGAGAGGCAGGGGTGGGCAACCGATGCCGATGTCCTCTACATCCACTGTCCTCTACATCCGCTGTCCTCTACATCCGCTGTCCTCTACATCTACTGTCCTCTACATCCACTGTCCTCTACATCCACTGTCCTCTACATCTACTGTCCTCTACATCCACTGTCCTCTACATCCACTGTCCTCTACATCCACTGTCCTCTACATCTACTGTCCTCTACATCCGCTGTCCTCTACATCCACTGTCCTCTACATCCACTGTCCTCTACATCTACTGTCCTCTACATCCACTGTCCTCTACATCCACTGTCCTCTACATCCACTGTCCTCTACATCCACTGTCCTCTACATCCACTGTCCTCTATATCCACTGTCCTCTATTATATTAGAGGACACAATACTTTAAAATTGTATATTTTAAATTGTGTTGATAGATAAATAATTTACAGAACTTTAATTTTAATGTTCGTCATATTTGAAGCAGAGAGGAGCACCGAGCAGACTGACCGGAGTAATCCCCAGTCAGTCTGCCTGGTGGCATTAATCGTATTAATCGTCAAGTGACAAAAACTAATCGATTAATGTTTTTTTGACGATTAATTGCACACGATACGATTATGCCCAACCCTAATTTGTAAGCAGAATTTGTGAATGGCTGCAAACTATCAAGTGTTTATTTACTTACCTAAACAGCCAAAGTGATTGAAAATAGGTCAGTTCCAACATCTATGTAGAATGGCAAAGTTTAACAATTTTGATGTTTTGGGACTTCCGGTGGTCAACGCAGTATGGACGAATAAAGAGCGAGCTCTGTCGCTAGCCTCGTATTCTCCAAACTCAAGAGCTGCATTTAGGCTAAAACTGGGTTATTTCAGTAAAATGAGTGGGGTCAAAAATAAGAAAGGAGGGTACGGATTACAAAACATTCTTGACCGCGAAATGGAAGAAGCAGCAACAAACGAAGAAGGCATAGCACTGAAGCAAGATGATGACCGAAGCGCAGGGCTGGACCTGATCCGTGGAGCAATAAGTGAAGTTCTGTTAGCTGAAATGTCAACTCTACGGACCGAACTGAAAAACGACTTCCAAGAGTTCCGCACTGGTTTTCGAGAGGACATAAAGAAGCAGATGGATGACTTTGCTGAAGAAATAAACCAGAGATTACAGGATACCTCAGACCGGGTGGACGAGGTGGCTGGGCGGATACAACAGGTGGAGGACAATATGGCGGAATCAGAATGTTGGGACAGGGGAGTTAAGGAAACGCTTGTACAGCTGTTAAAAAACCAACGGGCACTACAAGATAAAGTGTCTGACTTGGAGGGCCGTTCAAGACACAAATATATCTGGATATATGGCGTCCCTGAGGACTTGGAGGGCACGTCTGTGGTGGTTTTTATTGAAAATCTCGAGAACGAACTGGGTCAAGAACTGGGCCTGGGCCATGTCATCAACATTGAGTGCGCCCACCGAGCTCTGGGACCAAAGCCTGCGAGCACACCACCACACTCAATCGTAGTTCGCTTCCTCCGGTTCTCTAAGGACAAGATCCTCAGGGGTTCTTGGAAAAAGGGAGTTGGCATCGAAAACAAACGGTTGTACTTTGATCATGACTACGCACTGGAAGTACAGAAAAAGAGACGAGAATATATTCCAATCAAAAAAACTCTGAAGGAAAAGGGAATCCACTTCCAAACTTCACTCAGCAAGATGAGAGTTTTTCATTCAACCGGTAGTGTCCTCTATAACACCGCGACTCGGGCTGTCGAGGATATGCAAAAACGGGGAATACCGGTAGGGAAAAGAACCAACACGATAACAGAGGAAACGCTGAAACAGCTCCTACAGTGGGAACCGCAAACAAAATCTAATGGAACGGCTTTCAACAGCAGGTCCATGTCAACACCATGGTGAGACTGTTTCATGTCGGCTTTTGAACCCGGTGTATAAGTACTTGTGAACAGAGACTTTTATATTCTCACTAATTCATGTTGAACCAAAGGCTAGTGACTAGGATCATGGTGAGAAGACCACCAAGCCTTTTTTTTTTCTAGTTCAGGAGAGCTATAATTTTAATTCAAAAAAACATTTTTTTGTGCTCATTCTTTATTTTGATGAGGGGCCCCACTTTGTGACCAGTCCCATTACCACCAAAGGACAACATTGTATCCATACCAATGGAAGACCTTGTTAATGTTGTGTTTTTACTGTTCAGTGTTTTTTGATGTTGCATTGAGGTCTGGGAAGACGTATATACACAACTTATTATATCAAAAATGATGTTTCATAAATTTTATAATATCCTGTCACTAAATCTTAATGGATTAAATAATCCAATAAAAAGGAGTAAACTAATTGCTAAAATGAAAAGAGAAAAGATTAATATAGCATATTGGCAAGAAACTCGCCTCTCTAGGGCAGAACACGAGAAATTAAAGAAAATGGGGATTAGACATACATACAGTATGGACTGGAGACACAGGATTTCTTTAGATACTTGCAACTTCACAATTATATTAGGGTAAAAAATAAATAATTGTATACTCGGAGAATTTTCAATTATAAAAATGTTCATTAATGCATGTAACTCTGGAAGTAGCAAAGCTCTCGTAAGCAAACCGTATCAATGTCTGATCAATCTTAAAAGTGACTCAATAAACTATATGAAACAAAAATGGGAAAAAGAAATTAATATTGTGGTTACAGAGGACATGTGGACAAGCATCTGGAGAACACAATTTACATCAACTCCAACAGCTGGCTTGACTTCAGCAGGAAGACCATCATCTGCTTCTTCATAACACTGAAACAGAAATGCAAATTCATGTGCATCGTGCTGGAGAAACTGTGGAAGTCAAGGCAGATCATGGATATATATTCTGGATATTCCCAGCTATACAACCCTTCTGGAAAGAAGTAAAGAAAATCATCTCAAAAACATTGAGTTTTGATATCAATTACTCATCTGCGTTGTCTTTGGTTTATCTGTCAGATGATCTAACTACAGACAATGCTGATCTCCTGAAGATTCTCCTAATACCTGTTAAAAAGGCTATAACAAAATGCTGAGTAAACAATAACTCTCCCACCATAAACCTCTTCAGTTCCAAAGTGGAAAACATTAAACTGATGGAATGTTTGACTTTTAGTCTCCGACTGCAGGGACAATTGGGTAAGAGGCGATGGATGAAATGGCAGGACTTGGTACACGGTGACAGTATTTATTAACAAATATAAAACAGATGTAAAAGTTTGAAAACCCTCAAACTTGTGTATGATTGATTTTTATCTTATTGTATTTTATTTTACTTATCATCCCCAGACCTCATGTTGTTCTTTACTGTTCAAAGTTATAAATAAAAACTTACATTTTTTATGTTTTGGTACATCAGATTTTGCACTCAGAATTTTTTATTTATTTATTTATTTTTTGTAAAAAGTGCAGATAAAAAAATTTTAACCTGATTTCTTCTGTTCAGATATCCTGATGCTACTCCTGAAGATTTGCAGGCCTCGGACAATGTTTGCATCATTTGTCGAGAGGAAATGGTCACCGGAGCCAAGAAACTACCTTGTAATCACATTTTTCACTCCAGGTAACTCCAAAAGAATAAACTGGGCTGTTAACAAAAGCAATTCGTTGTCCAACATGGTCAGCTTTTGACACAGATTCTTTACTTAAACAGAGCATAAGTCAATGTGGCAAAGCAAATGTAAAACTTTCTCATTGTGTTATCGTTTAGTTCCTTTTTTGTTTGGTTTCTTTAAATACTGTTCTCTTGTTTCCATACTCCACAGCTGCTTGCGCTCCTGGTTCCAGAGGCAGCAGACGTGTCCAACCTGTCGTATGGATGTCCTCCGAGCCACCAACAACAATCAGACTCAGGCTCCAGCAGCACAGGGTCCACCCCCTGCCCCTGCAGCCCCTGCCAATGCTCCAGCAGCTGCCCCAGCCCCAAACGGTGAGTCAAAACTGAAACCCTGGAACAAAACCCTCATGTTCAAGTTGCCCTCATCATCCCACAAAGGCTGCAGACACGCAAATTACTGACCGCAATGTGATGTGGCTGCTCTAACTTTTAAAGCAGTTAGTATACAATAATAACCAAACAAAACATTATGAATTTAGTATTTGTGTGTCTTTCTGTTTTTTCCACTTTAGGCTTTCATGCTTACAATGATGGGCACTAGTCACTTAAAGCACAAAAGTGCTAACTGTGGACCTAAATTTCTCATTTGTGCTTTATGGAATTTAATTTCTTCAAATGATGTGCAGATTTGCACTTTCTAAATTTAGAATTGAGTAGCTCAAATTGCAAATAATGTTTCAAGTTCAACCATCAATATTGTCTAAAGTAAAAGGAGAGAGCCGTCTAAACCCACTACGTTCTGTAGCCAATATATTTCATTAAAGTTTCATCATCATTTTCTTCATCATTGGAAGGGAAAGCAGTCTCTTGCCAACATTATGGCGTTCCACGGTGTAAAAATAGCGAGGCAGCATTTTGTTCAGAGCTTTATACTCTCCTGAAAGCAGACAAGAAACCCAAACAGCACTTCATCCAACAACCAGGTGAAAATGAAGACCCCAAACCAGTGGTCCTTCCGTATGTTGTGGGCGTTTCAGCAAAACTGAGACATTTATTCTCTAAACATGATGCCACAGTGGGTTTCAAACCCCAAAACACATTACGACAAAGATTGGTTCACCCCAAAAGATCCAGTTCCCCAACACAGAGTAATATTGTGTATGCTGTGAAATGTCTGGAGGACTGTGATCAGTTATGCATCGGGGAAACAAAACAGCCACTGATCAAAATAATGAGCCAGCACAGACGAGCTACATCATCAGGCCAAGCCTGTGCAGTTTACACTCATCTACAGGCCATGACTGTGCAGTTTACACTTATCTACAGGCCATGACTGTGCAGTTTACACTCATCTACAGGCCATGACTGTGCAGTTTACACTTATCTACAGGTCAGGACTCTGCAGTTTACACTCATCTACAGGCCAGGACTCTGCAGTTTACATTCATCTACAGGCCAGCGGTCACTCTTTCAGGGATGAAGAT